CTTTTCTTGTTCCAGTTGCCACTGCTGTAATCTCTCTTCTTGTTTATTTTCTTTCTTCTCCAACCATTGCTGAGTCTCTCTTGTTTATTTTGCTGTTCGAGCTGCCATTGTTGTAGGTTTTCTTGCCACTGCTGTTATCTTTCTTCTTGTTTCTTTTCTCGTTCTTCCTGTTTCTTTTCTTTTTCCTCCAACAACTGTTGTAATCTCTCTTCTTGTTTCTTTTCTTGTTCTTCTTGTTTCTTTTCTCGTTCTTCCTGTTTCTTTTCTTTTTCCTCCAACAACTGTTGTAATCTCTCTTCTTGTTCTTCTTGTTTCTTTTCTCGTTCATTTTCTCATTCTTCTTGTTTCTTTTGCTGCTCTTGTATTGCTGCCATAAGGTCTGCTAAGCTGTAGTTTGATTTTCCGCCTCTCGTTTCCATTTTTTTTCATCCCACTTCTGACACCAATTTGTTACGTTTCTGTATGTTTGCTTGTTAATTCTTACTAGATACAAGTCCTTTCTTTATAAAACTTGTTTATTCTTCCCCAATACAACTTTGTAATGTACTTAATTTTCACAGTTACACACACTATAGTTCACAATAATTCACTCACTTTCTATCGCGCTTAGACTTAATTGTCCGTCTCCGGAACTTGCAAACTATAGTTCCGATCTCTGTGTCTGCTATCCTCAGTTCCTGCTGACCGCTGTCTTTCTTTCTCTCTGCCTGCTTCGTCTCCGCTACGTCTCTGTCTTTGTCTCCACTATTGCTTCGACTCCATCTGTCTCTCTCACTGTCTAGCACACTTATATACGATAATACTGCCTGTTCTAGAAACTTCTAAGACTCCCAACACGTGCTACCAGCGTCAGTTGACGCAACGCTGTCGCAACACACTAGCGAATCTTCTAGAATACTCGTCACGTGACCCCCCACTGTCGTAACAATATATATATACATGTCCCTGGCAATGTGGTTGTGTCACTCACTGGCGGAAATTGTACAAGCTGGTATACAGATCACACCCAACACCTTTATATCACACTATTTACAGAATTTAGCAGTCCTCCTCCTTGGACGGTTTGGCTACTACCCACGGCTATTCTACATGCCCCAGCTCGATTGTGACAGAAATGAGTAGCTTCAGTCTCTTTCAAGGACCATTTTATCGTTCTAATTTGGATCCCACTCAGTAGCAAGTGTTGACAAGTCAGGTATGCTTTTACGAATCTGCACTAGCTACTAGTACACTAATAACTAAATTCCTGGTAGCAACGAGCTCTGTTCAGATGGGGTACTCCATAAGACTGTTTTGGCACTTTCCAGGTAGTGAACAGTTGTTCTATATCAAATATAATATATGGAAATGGATTGCCACTCACGGACTATCATGAGTAAAGCATAAAGAGACTTTGCCTACCCTGCTAACCCCTGAAGTGTACAAATCGGGGTTGGTTTGCTTTTCAAAATAGGGAACATGTTTCATCTATTGCATTATCTTCAGAGCATCGTTCCTCAAAACTCACCAACGTGAGTCATCCCTCTCCCTCTCTTCTAGTGGAGCAAGGGAGTCCTTACCACTCTTAGTTTCCAGTCACTGGAGTGGTGGAGAGAGGTATATTCCTCCTTAATGATGTTTGTACTCTTTATTACGCTCAAGAAGCAGAGGGCGAAGCTGGATACTTTCCCACTCTTAACCCTAGATGGTTTTTCCAGATGTCAGGTGGGGAACCAGTCCAACCTCCTCGTAATTCCAGTTCAGAGATGACACTTCACTGTCCGTTTGTGTGAGGATAGCCCTTCTTTTTGTTCATTCTGTTACTTTCCATGATCATCAAAGATGGTCCTCGACTCCTAGTAATTCCACATACAGAACATTACGTCTGTGAGCCATTAGTTCAACTTCATTTGTGCCACATTCTCCTTATAATTCCAGGGGCAGGAGGTGTTACCTTGCTTCCCAGGTTGAGGAGTTAGGATTTCTGTTTGCAATCCCAGGCTGTATGATCTGTGTTTCTTCAGATTTAGTGATGCATGAATTGGCTTTGTAATTGTGGATTCAGTTTGTTGCATTCCGAGCTTCTTCGGGTTGGGGAGAAGACTTGTCCAGTTGAATGTTGCTTGACTTCCATTCATAATTCCTGTGCCTCGCATGCGACATTTCTGTAACTTTCAGGTTGGATGCCTGGTCCCATAAGTCCGAGTTTAGTTTGTTGCATTTTGTGCTTCTTCAGTTTGGAGTGAGGGTTTGTCCTCTTAGGTGTTACTTGTCTTCTCTTCATAATTCTGGTGGCTGAACATGCAATATCCTGTAACTTTCAGGCTGAGTTCCCTTCATATCATATTCCTATTATACAATTATATCATATTGTTGTCCCCATGCCCTAGCCACTACATCTTAGATCTAGCTTTGCATCCACAGCCCTATAATGAGACTGAAACGTGTCTGTGTGGTTGGGGCCTGGGAAAATCTAATGATAATGAACAATGTTGACTCTGATGCCAACTGGGCAAAAAGCATACCTGTTCCAGCAGTAGTGTGGACTAGTGTACTTTATTATATCTCACTTTTGCCCACCTGTTTTTCTAGGAAGATGTCTTTTCTGTGAATTTTGCCCTCACTGGCCCCTCCACCTGGTTAATGAGAGATTCTAGCTAAAGTGTGAAAGGAGGTAAGCGTATTTGGAAGTTTACATTTTCTTATACCAATAATGTATTTCCAATAATACTTACCCTTCTTCTACTATCCTGCCCTTCCTCCTCACTCTGGACTCAATTTTCAGGTATGTTCCTTTTCTTATATCTTGCCTGTGTTTATTACTTTAGTGTTTTCAATTGTATCACTCTATGACCCATGTTTCCAGTCACTGAATCCTTCATGAGAAAACTTCTATTTTGTATTCCCAAATAATTTGCATGCAAAGCAGGATATCGAACCTTTCGCTGGTGAATATATAAGAGCCATTCTTATTTCAATTCTTCTCCATATACATGCTTTCTATACAGGAAATTCATGCTAAATTTTCTATTCTGGTCAGAATACTGCCTTTCAGATGTATTAAAAGCACAATCATGATTTTTACATTGTTCTGGTCCTTTCTAAATCCAGTATTCACAATCCATTCTGTTATATCTTTTCATTCTTCAGCAACAGTGGACTTGCTTCCATCATCAACAACATTGATAGTTTGAGATTCACTGTTCATTCTAAAGACACATAAGGAGTGTCAACTTTATCATCTCTTGGTGTAGGCAAATAAGGATCAATTTCATCTTTCAATGTTGATTGAGCAGAAGTGGTTAAACGTGAAAATCGAAGGTTCCACAAATTAGGCATCTGTCTGATCTGTTCCTCATGCATTTTCTTTTTCTGTTTGACCTTTATATGCTCAGCAGCACCACTTTTATATCATTTCTTGCTTAGCACCATTATTAATGCCTTCTATCATGTTTAAAATAAAAATCAATTTTTAAATTTTTAATTATTTACTTTTAAGCAGAACTTTCCATAATGTAATATCTGTCAACATGTTAAAAATATTTTTTAATAAATAAAGACGTGCAAGAAAAATAATCTTTAATATTTTAGAATATACACTAAAAACAGCAAAGAGGACTAATTCAAAAAGTTTAAAAACACTGACATGTTTAGTTGTTGAGTTGATTCTTAATAAAAAATAGGCAGACAATATTTGTAGAAGTGACATATAAAAACATACAAATCAAAATGAGTAAATAGACAACAAATTTGGAAAATATATTTTTTTAATGAAGAATGACAATAGATTATTTGAACATACAAAATAGTTTGCTTTTATTTTAATATCAGAAATGCCAAAATAAAATGTATTTTTTTATCCTGGAAAATTCTTTATTATATTATAAAAAAGTTCAAATATTTTACCATAAAACATATTTATATTACTTTTACTAAGAACATCTATTAAAAGGGATATGGTTTATTGTGTAATATAAATTGCACATAAATTAGAGAAGATTAACTAAATATAAGTATTTATTCAAATATTACACATCTGAGGTAGTGCTCCAGCCCAGTTAGCCCTTGCATTAATTTGACACTACTTATAAATTAATGCTGTATAGATAATTGACTCCACTACATCTTGCACACAAAAAAATAACATTTATCTTTACCTTTGGACATTTACGAAGTGAAAATAACACCAAAAATACTGAATTTCAATTTCCTGGATTGTTTAACTTCAACCAACAAAATTAAGATAATGCTACTGAGATACGTTTTTGTACATTATTTTCATTACACTACGAAGCCTTCTGACTGGCATGAAAGTTACATAACATCAGAAATACAGTTCTATTATGTAAGTCACTGGAAAAGCAACACATACATACATATTGTTACGTCTCCGTTCATTAATTAACTTTCCGTAACTTCGTTCCAACGAAACTTTAGCGACACAAGTCCTTACTTAATAAAACTGGTTTATTCTTTCCGAATATAACTTTACGATACACTCAACTTCAACAGACGCGCTATAACAAACACTATAACGAACGAACGTTAACTTCAACAATACGTCTCTCTCTGACCGCAGTTCAATTACTCATTACCTACACACACATTACATTCCTCCCTCTTTTACATTGTCACCCTCTTTTATATACCAGACTACCCTATATCTAGTAAATGCTAGAGCATTCGCCAAAGTACA